TGGCGCATAGTCTATGGTGTACTCCATGGACGACGCGATAGAGACGCGACATTCACTCGATTATTCGCCACTCAGAACATAATCGGGACGATAGCGATCCCCTACTGAAGTACTTGAAATACGTCACACGTACTTTACGAAAACCGACAAGCTATTATCCCGCACACTCCTGTGTCTCTAGCCTAAGTGGCATTAGTGGTATACATACAGCAAATGTACATGACACACAAATGTATTTGGAATGAAGGATCGATTTCAGCAGCTCCTATCTAGCATGAGTCACCATGCAGCATCCGTTATTGGTAAGCTAATCTCTCTAAATGGCCTAACGGCTAACGCGAGGTCATAGCGGCCTATAGCACAGCCTGCACGCCAGCCGTCGCTTAATCGCAAAGAATGGTCTCAGGTCGCTTCTCAGCAGCACGAAGGCTTCACGCAACTTGCAAAGGTGAGCACACAGCAACATCATGCGCGATGGGTCGACAACGCCACCGTACCGAGCGGTCAGAGTCAGCTCTAGTAGCGGGACATCGAGTAACCCGGCGTATCATCCGCTACATGCTCACCTCCACCTACCAATCCGTCACTCGTTTGGACATAATCTGCACCAATATTCAGCCGAGCCGCAGTCATCGCTCAATATTGACAGTAACTAGACAGAGATAATTGCACTCATTGTGACGAATATAATGGCCACAGTGGACCACACGTATCATTCATCCGCACTCAGTCAGCATGCGAGCCTACTCATGGCAGGGTGTCACTTGTCTGGCAAATATCATCCCGTGTGGGCCTAAAATCATGGTGCGCCAGGGACGTCATCACGCCCCATGGCGCTGACTGTACGGACACTATGGCCGGTCTGTGTAAACCTACAACTTCATGATGCCGTAGGCAAAGTGATCTAGTACGCGCTCGAACAACCGCTGGCGAGTAAGCATCTCTCGGTTCGCGCATGCCGACGAACTGAGTAGGCGCATTGACCGTATGATGACAAAGACGATCTGTGTGTGACGCTAGGCCCGTCAGCAGATCTGTCTGGCCTACTAAATATTGCTAGCGTTGGACTTGATTTTAGCGCCCTATGAAATAACAAAATCCGCCAGATTGACACCCCTGGTATGGATTTATCAAAACGAGGCCAGAAATATGGTCTCGTGCCGTTGCAATAAGCGCATGCGCATGCGTATTTTCTTGCACAGTTAGTTAGCGGTTAATAGTGTCGTGCGTGACGAACCAAGCGTGAATGTGATACACACTCGACTCCTCCCACCCAGTATTTGGCCGGCCCAGATCACACAAAAAAGTGACAGAGTAGAAGCAATGAAATGCGTTGCAGTTGCCAAAAAGGTACGGGGTTATTTTGTGTGTTGCACTTTGCTGATGTAGCTATATACGCCGGACAGGTCTCTCTCTTCTTTCTCACGTTGTCTCTCATTGGATGGATCGTCTTCCTCGTGGGAACGTGCCGTATTGTCAAAGTGTTAGCAACTCAGTACTGAAGCATGTACTTTCAACTGTCAAATTCCTACATTTTTACTCTAGGCTGGTGGACGCTGACATAAGTGTTTTTACGTTCTATTTTTCATCCATTTGGGCAGAAGTGGTTGTTGGACTCGTCGTTTTTTGTCTGCCTTTCGCCTACACACTTACCGGGGGCATGTGCAGCTACGTTCTTGGTAGCATTGTATCCTCACATCAATTTATATTATGCTGGTAGCTAAAGTATTTGGAACGCAGCCAAAGTAGTTAAATTTGACTGTAAGCTTAACTCTATAATATAGCTAGTATTCTTACAAGGCTTGAATATAACTTAACACAGGACCAGACTGCTTTCCTGGCTGTTCTATTCATAGTTGTGATTACTGCCAATAGAACAGCTGTTGCTTATGTCATTGTTCTTCTAGACTATTCTGGCCATACTGTGGATATAACCGCTATCCACACTGATGTCCACCAGAGCCTTCTAATGATGTTTTTCGGAGGTATCGCGACTACCTTTTTCTGGGTAAGCAAACACGTTATTATTCTAAGAATGTGGGTAAATGAAGCGATGCGTGCCTCGCGCGTGCTGCTATACACACTGCTGTTGTACACTAGGGCGCGCCACTATCACCTGCAAAGCTCGTGTCTATTACATGTATTAGCTATGCATGCATGCAGCGACGGAATGCGGTGATGTTGCATTATCAGTCATTGGTGCATGCTCTCTCCTCCAAAAACAATATCTTTAATGCTTTAAAACACTTTGGACGCCATGGGTATCTGCTTAAATAAGCAGAAATGATGTATAAAGTATTACCGCCTAGTATTATAACCCCCATATAAATTCTTATGGACTTATGACACATTTATGTGTCCGTGGCTGGTTAAGTGTTAACCCTGCGTCAATATTTTTCTCTGTCCCCATTATTGTTAGGCTATTTACCAAACCATCTGGCCTTGGTTCATGACGGAATCAAGAACACACACAACTGAGACTGACACTGACATTTATTCCACAGCATAAAAAAATTACTGTTTTTGTGTATGTGAAAACTGTCACAGTGGTCAAGGGCCACCTTTTTCTTTACTGTATTAACTAGCTACATCAGGGATGTCGTTTGGTGCGTGTTTTTATTATGAGTTCAAACTACTGGAAATCTGGTTTCTTGTTAATATGCTTTCCAGATTCTCTGCAGAAAGGTATATAAAAAGTAACATTAGACAGCCGTAAAAACCTTACTTTGCATGGCACGCTTTTTACTCTGTGGAAGAAACCTTCTGAAACTGTTTGATATTAAATAATAATGAAAAAATATATAGATATGATGTGATAACTCACTGATGGAGCTTCATCTTAATCTTTCTGCGGCAGAGGATCATAAACATCACCATAATCACAACGGCAATCGCTATAACTAATGAAGGAACTATGATGGCTTCACGAATATCGTTGCGGTCATTTGATACAGAGTGGGTGGTGGGTGTCGCAATAGCACATTTGCACTTCTCTGGCAGCTCAATTACTACTGAAGCAGTCGGTCTATTGAGATGTACACGAGATGTCTCATCCACCACAGTTAGTATCGACTGAAACTGTATGGTTTTGCAGTTGAAGTACTCACAGATGTTGTGCACATCAAAGTTAAAAGTGGCGTTATAGCACTTTATAGATGTTGTGTTAACAAAATATAGGGCTTTTGAAGTCTGTTGAAAGAGATGCGCTAAATCTGTGGCAGACATAAGTGATAGTTATTAGCTGCACTCCTATGAGGGGTGTTGCCAATAATTGTATGGTATCTCCTTAAATAAGCAGAAATTGATGTATATGTAACATATTAACATCTAGTATTATAGCCATATATAAATTTTTTATTAACTTATGGAGGCTAGTGGCTAAGGGTTAAGTAAAAATAGCAATCAGTGTGAAGCATGGTCTCCTACTTTCAGTTGTGATGTAGATGATAAAACTTTCGTCAATTCCTGGAGACAGGCTAGTGACACACAGTTCTTCATGATCTTTCGCTTCCGATACGGTATAGCTCGTGTGTTCGTAACCAACCCTCACATCTACGCAGGTATATAGTGTTTCAGAGGTAAAAGAATAAAGGAACACAATGATGTAATGCATGCTAATTACATTAGCTCCTATTACTAGAACACATTATTTAAAGAAGGGAGCAGGTCAAACTTTTGAGCGCATAATGCTAGGTTGGTCGGTACACATCATCATGATGCAAAGCACTGACGTGGTGGGGCAAACGCGCTCGGCGCACGACGGTGACGCGCACGCGTAAGCTAAACGCTGGCGCAGTACTAACTTAATTGATGGGCTAGGGTTTAGTGTTAGTTAGCATGTACCCGTGGTCTCTTCTGCCAGCTCGCGTGCGGAGTCTGACGCGGGCTAACTACAGCTAGCCTATCCTAGCATGCGAGTAGGCGATGACCACCTGCCGGCTGTCGTTGCATCTTCCTGGTGCATCGGAATGTACGCAGAGAGCGCGATCGTATCGGAGCGTGTGGTAAGCCATCGCGTACCGGTGCGTATTGCATATGGATGCGCGGTCTATATGTCTTTGTGGCACGGAGCAGTTTCACACAGAGAAAACCGTTGCGAAATTCTGCTGAGCCTTCATTAGCCCGTGTAAGTATTGGTGCGTATACCTTTGTGAGAGGAGCACACACACCTCGAGAAGTGAGATTGAGAGTACAGACACGACACCGAATAAAAGAGCAGAGACAGATCATAAAATAGATCTAAAGAGTACATACATTATCATTACTACGCACCCATACGCATTAGCGTAACATCGACTGATTTGCGCATGGCGCGCCGAGGCTTACTATAAATGTGATCAGACTCGATCTAGGCAGCGTCCTAAGCGTCACTCGTGCTCAAATGACACTCATCACACACTCATGGCTCGCCTGTATCACTCAACCGTGATAAGAGTCCGAGATCGTGAGGAGTAGACCATCAGTGTAGCACTCCGTCGCTGCGTGGGGTGTATGGTAGACTGTAGGTGAGTCTGCACAAAGACGTGAGTAGTTTCCGGCTCACACTTGCACATCATCTCGCGGTATACTGCGCAGAGTAATGGCACTTCAGCAGATCTCTTCAATCCTGAGTCTCAATGTTCTAACTCTGTGCTGCAGTCCAATGTTCTTTGTTTTTCGCTGCAGGGCTCGAATTTCTGGAATGCCATGATGTTACTATAACTAATTGCGTGTGTAATCGAGCGGAGCGTTCTGGTAGACGCTGCATATATATGGGATGAGTCACGTGGGGTGAAATCTCACGTGAGCGCGTACA